ATTTAGTTATTATTTTTTAGTCTTTTTTTATGTAAATTTTGATTTGACTATTATTATATCGAAATTGAATGATGTTTTTGTGTCATTGACAATAATTTCATTTATTTTTCAGTTAAAGGAGACAAAAAATTTATTGATTAGTTGTTTACATCCTCATTACCTTCGTCCCTTTCATTAATGCGTATAATCTTCTAGTTTATGGATTTGAACTAAGAGAGACAAGTTCATGCAATGATTTATGAATTTGTTTTTCGGAAAGATGTTTCTATTGTCAAATCTCTTATAAATATGGTGGAATTGGGCATGTTTGTCATGCGTTTTATAGAATGTTTGAGAGAGGTGTTGTCTTATTTAATGATGCTTGCTTGAGTGAACGTTGTAGAAAGTAGACATTGAACAACACTCACTTCAATGAATGAATGTCCACTTTGTACCAATGCACTATAAAAAGTGGATATTCAATAGTAATTTCTACAATGCTTCAACAGCAGTGTTGAATCTAACCCTAAATTCTACTGTGCTTACATAGGCAACGCCTAAAAACATTGTTGAATGACAATTTTAAGCATTATTGTTTTACTATTGTAATGTGGTAATATATATATATATATATATATTCAAGAAGTATCTCATATTTTTATTTTAACTTTTTAATATTTTTTATGGATACTTCTGTATGGGAGCATATGACTTATTTGACATTTTTTAAAATATGTTTCTCTTCCATGTATATATTCCTATTGTTAGAGAATAATTTAATAAAAAGGTTTTAAATTGTAGATTGATGTAAGAAGTAAGGTTTGAACCCTTCACCTTGATTCAAGACATATCCTCTTGTGAACATATTTATAGGTTATTGATAGAGCTGAGTCTTCTTTTCAGTTGTAGTAAAAGATATTAACAGTCCAGAATAATGTATCTCCTCATACCAGAAGATAACTTACATTCTTCAGTCAGTAAAAGAATGACATGTGTATTGTTTTGTTTTGTTTTAGAAATATTTTTGTAGAAAATAATTAAATGGTACATATATCACAATTCTATTGGTTTGAGGAGATAACTTATCTCCTTATATTAGGAGATACATTATTCTCTAAATAATACAGGAAATATATAGTATGATATTACCCTCAAGAGTCATTGGAGTATGGTAGAGAGAGAAGTTGTGCTTTTTTGTTATAACCATTAGCATCATTTTATAATTGTTGGGCTATTTTGGCAAAATAAAGTTATTGGATGAATGTGAAAATTCCATTAACCTAAGGAACCAAAATAATAATCTCTACTCTATATAATTTTTAATATAATAAGACTAAATTTTATAGTGATAATAATATTTTACTTTATTCTCTGCGATATATTTATACATTAATTTACATAATTACATCCAGTGCTTGTTTACCAGCAAAAAGACATAGTTGGGTAACATGTCCAAATGACAAAAGATATTGTTCAACGAAGCAATTTCTGTGTAATTTTGATCATCCAATGGAAGAAAATGAAAGAAAGAAAATGGGGGGATTAAGATAAATAACCAACAAATCGTTTGTCTAATGGTGTAAGGTTCCGTTAGATCTTAAAAAAGATTAAAATATCAAGTATTCGATTTCTAAGAGTAACACTTGATGGGAGTAGCAACCATACACCTCGAAAGTAATTAATTTAGGGGGTGACTGAAACTTTATTATTTCTTTAGTGTTTTTCTCATGATTACAGCATCACTACTTTGATTGGTTCCTACTTATTTGTTCTTGAATTTCTTGAAAATGATAGACCCATTTATCTTTGTTTAGGCCCATGAACATATTAGGTTTCGTTAAGTGTTCAAGTTGGGTTGTGTTGGATCAAAGCCTGAATATGTATATGATTTTATTCATATCTTTGTTTTTATTTTCTTAAATTGAAACCTTGTTACCAAAATATCAATCCAAGATTCCATGGTCAAAATGATATACTATCAATCACCCAACAATCTTGTCAATTTACTGAAATTTTAACTTATAAGAATGAGTTTAAATCATCTCATCCACATTCTAATTCACAATTTTTTTTATAAGAGATAATATTGTAATAAATCCAATGGCAAATCTTGGATTCAAGCATATGGGTGTAAGTTATAATATGCAGTATAATTAAATTCAACCGGACTAGTCAGACTGACCTAGGACTCAAGTTGTTTATTTGATCGGCCATGAACCAAAGTCGGTATGAATCACCTTGACTCGACTATTTTGCGAATAAAATTGATGAACCGGACTATCAAACTGGTCATATCGATTGAATCCGTCAATTTTTCTAAAGAAACATCAAGACAACATCATGTGAAGAAAAGAATGTTGTGTTTTCTTGTTATTTATGATTATGTTTGTCATTATTGGAATGCTTTTTGTGATTTGTTAGTTTATGTTGTAACAAAATCTGATTTATTTAATTAAGGTTTAAACTTATTTGTTTGCTTTTGTTGCGAACAAAGCTTAAAAGTTATGTTGTTCGATAATATTTCTAACTTATTTGTGACATTTTATTGTCTCACATTTTTGAAGGATGTTTAATTAGATACTTTAATAATTTTAAATTGGAGTATAAATTTATTAGAGAATATCATAATTTTTTAGCACATTATAATGTGAATCGATTTAATTGGTCTAACTAAATCAATAATCTGACCATTGACCAATAACTGACTAAGTCGATGATTGGTCTTTGTTTAATAATATTGGTTAAGTAATATCAAACATATCACAATAGATCAGTTAGAGTTTGCAAAATATATTAAAAATTAAAATAATAAATATTATTATATATAAAAAGATGAAAACATTAATGTCAAAATTATAAAATTTAAATATATAATTAAATAAATTATATAATTCATAATTGATTTTTACATGACTTTTATTTTGAAATCAATGAATGATCAACTTGATGTCAATGTTGATGAATACTTCTCATTATAAGTGCACAAAACAATCATTTATGCATGTATCTCTCATTCGATTACACAATCTATTTTTCACAATCTTCATAGTTAAAAAGGGTCTTTCTACAATTACAATTGTTGTGGCAACTAGTAAAATCATTGCTAATTTGAAAACAAGATAAAACTAATAGGTAAAAAATGTGTCTTCCATTTTCAACTAACTTATATGAAAGATTATTAATTCATTTCAAAGAAACAAATTCAACAATGTTATTCATATTAATGATATAGGTCTTAAGTAGAATATCAAACATCTACAAATCAATTGATGAAAAATTATGTAAATGCAATTGATTTTTCCATTTCAAAAGTATAAATCAAATTAGTTTGATTGAAACAAGACATACAAACGAGAGTTATAAGGCGGTCAAGTGATTACGATAGAGAATTTAAGGAGCGAAGTGATAAGGGAGATTGAGAGTTTAAATCTCATTCATTAAAGCATTCTAACATTCAAACCTCTGTCTATAAAAAAACAAGACAAACAAAGAGTGGCTATTCTTTATCTTATAGAAACGATAATGAAATTCTTATTCTTTCTCCACTCATGTTTAATCAAAACTATTTTACTTTCTCTTCCTTTTCCTCTATTACAAATATTTCATTTCTCTCCCCTCCCTTGAACACTCGAGGGGCTCACATATATTGGGTCACAGAAAGAGATATATACAATCTTATCATCGCTAGTAAATAGATTATTTTCATTAAACTCATCAAGACAAACAATTTTATTGTTGCTCAAAGTTTCATCATCTACTTTATTGGAGTAACTCAATGACTATTTTTTACTTCAATGAGGAAGATTAAAATATTGATAAGAAGGGATAAAATGTGACAATTGTTCATTATTTTAGGCATATAATAAATCAATTATTTATCAAACACTAGAGTTAGACTTTAAACTATAAAGCATGAAGCTAAATCAAAATCATATGGCCATTGGACCGTAATCCTCATAGTTCTTGTAGTAATAAAACCCAAAGTAAAGCCGAAGAGAAACCTGGTAGTATAGTAATAAAACAACATGCATGGTATAACATTTGATTTTTTTGTACTACCAAATGTACTTGTGTGTGACTCAAATGAGAACGGTTTTCATATAAGAATTGTGAAAATAATAAATATGGGCCCTACAACCCACCATGAACGGTTAGGATTAATAGTTAGTTATTGATCACGTGATCGTTATGTGCATGTATCTTTTAATCTTGACCGTTCAAATAAGATCAAATGATTCATATTAATTGTTCTCATTTCTCACAATAGCACATTATTCTCATGTGAGTCGCTCCCAATATCTCTTCATCCTATGAGTAAGGAATTAATATTTGTTGGGCGCATAACTGCCATTTTTAATAAGTATCACTCACATGAATCCAACTATTGAGCGCATAACTGTCTTTTATGTGCATGTGCTTTAATAAACTTATAGAGGCCCAATGGTTCATATGCAAGATTGATTTAGGCCATTATGTACCAAAAAGGACTTTAGCTTCATTTTCATGTGCCTTTGTCAATATACATCATTAGTTGGCCTCTATCACGTAGAGGTTAAAGTACACATTTATTATCTCTAATCAATGGCTGTGTAATTATCATAACCATTGAATTGATCTTTCACTCATAGGTCAGTTATTGTGATTATTGCGATTAAGATTATGATCGTTTCACTGTGAATTTTTGTTGCTATTAAAAAATGTTTTTGAACTTAATATGACCTGAAGTAACTTGACATTGTCCAAATATGGCCTGATATAGTTTAATGCAGTTATATTACATCTAAATGTAGTTGCATAAATTATGATTCAATATTACACTGTAATTGCATGATGATCCAGTTGTGGAAGACACCACAACCAAAATAAAACAGTTATCCATTATCCTATGGAAACCCTTCTAGAATTAACTAACAAATATGGGTACAACTACTCAATAATATGATAATTGTAAATAGAGTACGTTTGCAAGAATGAAACTCGAAGGAATTGACAGGATCCCGCATAAGCGGTGGAGTATGTGGTTTAATTCGATGCAAAGCGAAGAACCTTACCAGAGCTTGACATGCCGTGAATCCTCTTGAAAGAGAGGGGTGTCTTCAGGAACATGGATACAGGTGGTGAATGACTTTATCAGCTCATGCTATAAGATGTTGGATTAAGTCCCGTAACGAGCACAACCCTCATGTTTAGTTGTCAACATTGAGTTTGGGTACTCACCATTCATAGATAAAGTTGATGTCGATTTAAAATCTCAAGACCTTTAAGATAAGAAAAAGAGGGAAAATTAGTTTGGAAAATGCATCAAGTAGTAAAAGGAGAAGAGAAAGCAAAAAAAAAGTATCAAAAAAGTGCACTTTTTCTAAATAAAGAGGACTTATTTATAAAATTGGGTGATTTGAAATTACATATAAATACTTGTTAATCATTGTAAAAAAAGTTATATACTGACAATTTTTTATACAATCAATTTCATCTAGATATATAATAAAAAATACCTTGTCACATTTTTAAAAAATATAATGAAGACTATATATATATATACTAACCTATAAAGTCAATATATTATATAACCACCGACATTGTATAATTTTTCTTTCTCCATTTTGAAATTTACATGATCTTAAATGTATATTTCTCCTATTTTAATGGCTAAGATCTTGTTTTAGTATTAATTATTTTTCATGTAAAATATATAGCTCTAATAAAATACATTTTTATTATAAATACACTAAAAGTTTCAAAGTTAATAAAAAATAGTTATTGTATAATTTAAAGAGTGAGTATACTTTAAGATCATTTTATGTTTTGAATTTCGGAGGAACTAAATTGATAAATGTGAAAATTTGGAAGGAGCAAAGCATGTATTTACTCTAATTTAGATCATTTGATAAAATTCATTAACTTCTCTATTAATGATATTGTTAACTAGGTAGAAATAATTAATTTGACCCAATTAGCGAATTTGAAATTTAAAAGACAGATTGAGGGAAATCTTACTAGTTGATTACTTTCTTTTTCAAGTAACAAGTAGGACTGAGAAAAAAAGTATTGATCAAATTGAGTCTTCAATCTAATAATGTTATTTTTTAAATGTCTTGTAAAAAATTTCCTAATAAATTTGATGCAATTACTATCCTCATATTAGATTCTAATTAAAAAATTTCTAATAAGTTTGCTATTATTTTTTAGAAATCACTACAATTTTTAATCAATTAACAAAATGTTTCAAATTTTAAAAAAAACCTAATTAACAATTGAGTTCTTTAAGATTTGATTGTCAATATAAAAAATATGAAAAGATTTCATTCAAACACAAACAAAAAATATTATTTATCCATACAAACGTTATATAACCAAAACCACTAATTTTTTTAAATGAAATTATTATTTGTGATTAATTTATAATCACTATTTGAATCTTAAACAATGAGGCACTAGATAAAATGTAGAAGTAAAATCATATAATTTTTCCCATTGGACTTACTTTCTTGTCTCTATTTTTTCTCCATGACATTTTGAACGAGTTTTGTGATATATATATATATATTAGATAAAAGATGAAAATTTTCTTCTATAAAGTTTCAGTATTCCATCTCTAAAACTAAAGCTAAAGAATTTATAAAATATATCCTTCACAATAAAATAAGAGAAAATTACATAATGTCTTCTTATATTTTGTTTTCTTTTTCTCAACCTTCATCCTAATGAACCAGAGTGGTGTCCTATTATGGGGAAGATGTATTTTATGTTGACATATATTATTTATAGCCAAAATTAAGAGTGTCATAAAAGTTCTAATAATAGGGAAAAGGGAAATCCATGTAATAAATTATACGCATTATTACTCAAATTTTATTCTTCAATATTTATTTAGTATATATTCTAAAAACATTTATTATCTTGTAATATTTCACATGATATGAATAAAACCTCTTGACATCATACTTATATTTTTGGCATATTGGTATAATTGTGACATTCATAAATAATTTGTAAGAACTCTTTAACAGGTGAAATTTACATTGATAAATACTAGAGCTCAAATAAACTTTTCATTGATATAAAAATAGACATGCACATGCTTTCTTTTTACTTTTTTGATCAAACAAAACTGATTGATGAATACTCCAGCGAATAATGTACTCTCAAAGATTTTATTAATAAATATTGAATCCTCAATTTTACTTAAATATTAGATTTATTTTTTGGTATGATTAGGTGTCTAGGTCAAAAAACATCTATTAATTAATGTGTTTTTTATATACATATGAATCTAAATATCAAATCTAGAACTAAATATTTGAGTGATTTATGTTCCTTCCACCATACTATATATATTTAATCTTTAATACATCTACTTCAGTTTCTCTTAATTCTTTGATGTTTAACATGTATTTTTATTAATCATCTTCCTATGTACCAAAAAATAATAATAATCTTCCTAATTTATACATCAAAATTTTGACATTGTATTTAACAATGTACTCATTTAACTCTATCTATCACATATTTTCCATCGTATTTATACATGTATTTTTATGAAATACCTAGAAAAACATTTTACACCATTTTGATGTCCATGTTTTGGTGTGAAAAACATTTTCCTACACATTGCAAAACATATTTTTTATATTTATTATAAAATAAGATGGATATATTTTTCAAAACATACTCTTTTTCTTTTATTTATCTTAATCAAGTAACTGTTAAAACATTTTATGTTCTCTATTTTATTAGATGTTGTATATAAAAAGACATTCTCTTATGGAGAGAAGAAAATAAGAAGAGAGACATATGAGAAAGAGAGTGAAAAGAGAGAAATAGAGTAAAATTTAGTGTTGTTTGGATGTATAGAAGAATAATAGAAAGAAGAGATTTTTTCTCCTCCACTCTTTCCTGGACCAGGATTTGATGTCCGGAATTATGTTTTAAATCGTGTCTTGGATTAATGAAAACATGTCATGTCAATTAAAAAAATTAAATATTAAATATTTTTTTATTTTTTCTTCAATATCAATGGTCTGGGACATCATTTGTGACACAATTTAGGACAAAAGATATTGGTCACTCTTTCTTTCCTATTTTCTCATCACTTGCGAAGATAATTTTTTTATGGGCCCCACTCAATTTTTCTTCTCTCTCCTTAAACTCTCCCGCGGACCAAATGAGAAAAATGTGATATTTCTTCAAAACTTCTTTCATCCCATTCTCTTTCTCTTCTATTTCTTCTCTTCTAAATGAAGCCTTAATCTTTAGAACAATAATAATAATAATAATAATGAGAAGTAGTGAAAAAGATTATTCAGTTCAATGAGGCTTTGATTTTCATTCTTTATCTTTTCTCTCATTCTTCTTTCTTTAAGCTTTAATTTCTTTTTCATCCTTCTTGTTCATCAAGAAAATCTTTTTCATTCATGCATGACTCGAGTAAATAAAAAAACAGTAGATGATAATTATATTCCACATCAAAAACATAATAAAATTATTCTCATACTACTATTTCCTATATCTTCTTATTATATCTAAAACTCTACAATCACTTATCAAGACATTTTTGCTCTATAGAATTACTGGAGAAATTATTGAATTATTTGGATTATAGAATAATTTCCATGGTAGTAGAATTAGTATTTTAAATTGTAACCGCAATTACTGCTATAATATTTTTATTCATATAGTCTTTACAATAATATCGCTAATATAATTGTATCCATGATTTGTACTTTGGTTTGTTTTCCTTTGTAAACATTGTTCTTATCTAATATATTTTGGGTGCTTTTATGCACCTTTTTGCTTAAAAAAATAATTGTATCCACACCGACCATAATTTTTTGGAATTGCAATAAACAACATAATAATCATATTTACCAACTCTCAAGTAGAACTTAGCTTATAATCATAGAATGATAAATATGTGAATGTTGTCTCTAAAATAAAACCAAATAAAGAGAATCCACTTAAATATGTGAATGTCGTCTCTAAAATAATCATATAGAGGGGAAATTAAGAAATAAGAAATACATTAATACTCAATGAGACTTCTCTCCATTAATGGAGATATAATTGATATGAAAAAATACACGAAAAACAAATTACATTGACATTTACTCATTACTTTACATACATAATCACCCCAATCATTTAGATTCACTCCATGCACAAAAAACCAACACTCACCACTTATTCATATGAACATAACCAAACACAACCCAACTATATATATAGTTTTAGAAGAGTCTCCACAAACTCTATCTATAAGAGAATGATAGGGATCACCTGTCCCGAACGGTATTCCATTTCCTGTTCTGGACCAATGACATATTATCATATGAATAAAAGAAATTTTTTAAAAACAAAACGTAACATTCTTATTGGCTCGAGACAGGAATTGGGACACCGTTTGAGACAGCTGATATCTGTCTATAAGAGAACAATGAAAAGAAGAAGCAAAAACTCACTCATTATTTGTCCCTAACATGGAAGACATTAGGGTTTTTTATGACTATATCATACATATAGATGGAGTTGAACTTGGAGAAGTCCTTTGGTAGAGAGATTAAGTCAATGGAAGAGTGATTATGGAATTGGTATAGGTCAGGGTCACCATCATAATACCTTTCCCACCCTAAATTTGTTAAGACATGTTCAAGAAAAGCATAGGAATTAACCACTTCTTCTGTTGGTAAGTACACTAATACCTTTCTTTTTGAGTTACTTACCCTTCCTTGTCTTCCATCTGAAGCAGTTTCTGCTTGAGGGTTTTCCACCAAACGAAAAACACCATTCTTGAATACCCACACTCCTGACATTTTATATATATATATATATATATATATGCTTAGACTAATTGGAACTATAGAATATAGAAATTGGGTATTATGAGTATTTTATGGATTAATGATCAAAGAGGAACAAGGTTGGTATATATATATAAAGAGGATGAGATGAGATGAGATAAATGAGATTTTAAAGGGGCTTTTGGTTTGGTTTGGTTGCTATGTTTTTGAGGGAATGGACGAGGGTATTTATATGTGTCAAAAGAGGAAGGGGGCAAATAAAACAAGAGGAAAATACTCTTGGAATTAGTTGAATTTTCTTTTTAATTAGGTGACATTTTTTAATTAAATTGGGATATCATCACGACATAAAAAATGAGATAGGTGATATTCATTCTAAGTTTATCGATTCAGTTCGTCTTCGATATTGAAGAGGTTGAATTTTTTCTAAAACTTTTTATTTATTTTTATTAAAAAATAACATAAAATTATGGACATA